CTGCCATGCTGTTTGCTATGCTTACACATTGGCATTACCTCACAGCACCTCCTGTTGGGTCCCTTTAAGTTTTACTGACTTTGAAGGTTGACTGAGCTAAACTTACACAGCATTCATTTACCTAGGCAAATTGTACTAACTGCTACCCCCTGACAACAAACAAAGAAGTGAGCAAATCACTGAAAACCCTGACTCCCTCAGAATTTTAAAACATTTGTGGGAAGCCTGCTTGGCAGAGTGCTACACCAATCCATTTACTAACATTTGGAAATGTTACTTCTTCCTTCTTGTATGCATAAAATTGACAAAACTAATGGTTTTAACACTATCTTGTCTCACTCCATAGAGTTTGGGGTACGTTGCTTTAGGGACTAAAAGTCAAAAGTACCTGAAATCCCCAGCAAGTATAACTCGGTCTCTCAAATGTTTTCCAAATGAGGACTGAAGCCAGGACTAGTTTTCCATGGTCACCCCAGGTCAAATAAGATTCTTAGGTTCTTATGATCTGGGCCTTCACCCAAAAGCTGATCCAAAATCAGCCTCAGAGATGGATAGACAAGTATAATCTTACCAGGATACTCACCCTAATATACTTTACAGAGACAATAAAGAACAGTTATAGCTTCCTGCTCTACTTTTATTCACTCATTTAAATCATATTTGTAAATGTCAGACATCTCACTAACAATCATTCATAAGCATTATTTAAAATATACTACACTGTACTTTATTTGCAGAAGTCCCGTCATTGTGCCCCATCGGGTGGCCAAACTGAAAATTTCAAACAAGTTCCGGCAAGGCAAGTGAACCCTAACTAATCAACATAATACCCCTGAGACACGGAAGCTGCAACACAAGCTTTCCCACAGGAGGGCTTTATAAGTGAAAATCAAAACAACATCACAGCAAGGCTTCCTTCCACCTGACAATGGGGAAGTGCAGTTTATGCAGTACGTTTTCCAGATCATGCAACATAAAATCAGTTCATCACATTGCTTTCTGTTTAAGGAAAATAAAAGTCTCCTGCTGGAAATGTAGTTCAGTGGTGGAGTGACTTGCTTAGCATGCCCAAAGCCCTGGGTTCAATCCCCAGCAATGGACACAAAAGATTTCACTGAATTTTCAAGTCACAACAAAATCTCAATTAAAATTTTTTAATTTATTAATTTTTGGGCATATTTATTTATATGGAGGATTTTTGTTTTTGTTTTGTTTTGAAGACAGGGTCTCACTATGTAGCTCTGGCTGTCCTGGAACTCACCATGTAGACCATGCTGGCCTCAACTCACAAAGATCTTTCTGCCTCTGACTTCCAAGTGCTGGAATTTAAGGCAAACATCACTATGTCTGGCTTTTCATTAAGTTTTTTGAAAAGATATTTTTAAAACATTAATTTTATATTAGGATTTAAAAATAGTTCCTTAAATTCTCTTCATAAACATAATTAAACCAAAAAAAACACAGAAATTTATAATTGAATGGGTGCTTGGATTATAAAAGGCTTACTTAGAAATCATCAAAGTTCAGTTCTCCAACACCACATACAGATAAACAACCTGAAACCCCAAAAGGAGGAAGTGATTTCATAGGGTCACACAGCTAATGTGACCTGGTTCCCAATACTGAAACATACAGTGCTCAAGAAACAAATCAGATGTGTGTGTGTCCACACATTTATATGAATCCAAATGGCTTAACCTTTCTAGACCTGAGTTTCTTTGCCTGAAAAAGCAAGGAAGTAGATAATCTTTAAAATTCCTTTTAATTCCTCAACTTTGGAGAGCTCACTGTTTTATGCTTATGCTTACTACAGTATACATTTAAAAAGTCATTCTTGGTTCCTGAGACACCAAAACACAGGACCCTAAAGAGAGAGAGAAAAAAGATCATGTCAACAATCAAAGGCATCAAATATACTAGCCTCTTTTGTTAATATTCTGCAAAATACTATCTGATCACACTAGTCTATCTGGATGAAATTGGTCTGAGTTAGTTTCAATTAACCTATTACAGATACAACATTGATTCTAAAGTTTTTCAAAGGATTGTGCCAACATTTACTGATGTTCCATTTTCTACCCTGAGATTTGTACTCATATTATCAGGAACAAAGATAGTCTCTGCTCATTTGTATTTATTCTTGGTAAAACTGTTCATAAAGCATCAACTAGAAGTCCTGTATATGTTTCTCTATTCTTTTGTGTTTATTCTGACTATGAATGCCACAATTTTTTAAAGACTAATAATTTTCAGGATGTTGACGTAATACTATCAATAATTTTAGTAATTCAGGAAATTAAAAGTTAAACCAAACACTTAGGAAGTAAAATGGGCCTTAAAGGAAAACATTTTCTCCAGGGCCTCACAGCTAACATACACAAGAACTAGCACCTACCATGCCACATGTATCTATACTATTATATATAATTAAATATTATATAGAATTATAATGCAAGCAAAATGTTCAGTTTCCATCTAAGGCTCCACCTAACTCAAGTAATAATTAATAAACTGACATAAACAAAGAAACTGAACAGTTTCTGTTGGTCTGGGGCACTAGAAGGCAACCTAAGCTTGAATTAAGGGAAATGCATCAAATTTCATCACTGGAGCTTGAAAAACAAATCCAAGTGTCTGTTCTGCCAACTGTTTTGGTCAGCATTATTTTCAACTACATGAAAACACATATTACAAAAAATTAAGCAAATGCTTAGCAAAAGCTAACTTTTTATTATAGATACCTTTTTCCCCTGACTATTTTTTGAAACAGTCTCTTTCCTGGCATTTTAAAGTCATTAACATTCCCAGACCTTAGCAATTCTTACTCATACCTCTATGCTATGTTTAAAGGAGCAGCACCAAATCTTTAGAAATAATACACAGCACAAAGACTACACTATCATGCAAATGGATCCAACTTACAAAGAAAAAGCCCCTTATTTTTCACCTTGCCTATAGAACAATGAGTCTACCAAGAATAGGAGTTGCATACTAGGAATCTCTCTGTAGAATCAAATTTCAATTATCCACAATAAATGAATTTTTCTAAAAGTAAATTATAATTGGTCTGAGAAAGAAAACGCAGTCACTCTAAGGCATAGGAATTCTGTCCCTCAGTGGCCAATCTAGAGTAACCATTTAGAAATAATAGTAACCAAATAGACTACGTAAATTGAGGAGTCCCAGAGTCACTGTGGTTACTCCAGCCACAAAGCTGACATTACAAATCAAGGGTTAATTGCATTTTTAAACTAAACCATATGCTTCCCCTTCCAGGCCAAGATAGTCCAAGTTAATTCTATAAAATAGTCAAATGTTGAAATACTTCAAACAAATCCTAGGATACATCCGACCACTGTTACTCTGAGCAGAAATCAAGCGTTCCATACTGTATAATAATAGATGTGCTTCGGCATGCTCCGGCCCCAGTCTCTGAAGAACTGACAGTGGTGCTGAAAGTGCTGGCCGCAGGAGGAAAAGCCAGGCCCTCCTTCCAATGAAACCCACCGTCTGGAGGCTAGCCAAGGTTTTAAAACTGACTGAATGTTATTACAAACATTAAATCAACACTCTACAGCCTGAACTGTTAGAGCCTTTTCTTACAGAATGCGGTTAAAGAACCCTACAAGCAAACTTGCAAGAAACTATCAATAATAAGCCATTCGTCTCCAGCATTAAATACAGTATATTGTAAGTAAACTTATTTTACAATCTTCAAGGTTCTGTTTAACCTAACTACACCCTTCCCCCACCCCCGGTCTCCAATTATTACACTGGCTGTATGAATAAATGAACTTACTGCTGTTGCCTAAACACCCTATCACTAAATTTATATAAAGTTAAAAAGAGATCCAAAATATTTTAATTCATAAAACCTAGGCAGTGTGTGTGTGTGTGTGTGTGTGCACGCGCTCCTATTGATTTTATACTCTTTGTTCCTGCTCATACCATAGATGTGAATTCCTGGAGGTTAGAGACCCAGCTGTCTTTCTCTATCCAGGAGATGAGCTACTAGCTTCTGAGAATAACCTACTGCAAGCTCAAAACCCTTCAGGTACTCTACCTTCTAAATAAGTGAGTGGATTTCCCTGTCTTTACTGTTCCCAATATTGACTCAAGGTTCCTTACACTATCTATTAAATAGCCTCTGTGGAAGAAGAAACTGAGAGGAAGGGAGGAACATTGACTCCTGTAACACACAAGTAAGGTACAGTATTTACATTACACTGATTCTTCTCCCTAACAAAAAACTTAGCAGAAAATCTGAAATTTGAAAAGATCCTCTTGCCTCCTTCCTCTTCCCTCCATTCCAAAACCTGAGAAGAGTGAAAATCCAAAGATGACGTTCCTCTGTATATATAGTTCGTGCAATCAGTACAAAGACTAGACACCGTCTCCTTATCAAAACAGAACTATTAGTTCAATGCATTTGGAAACTATAACCACTGCATTAGGCGAAACACATTTCACCAAGTTTCAATCCTGTTACAAAGCCTTTGTCAACAGTGGGCAAGTGGGAGTAAGCCGACGGGCTCGGTGGCCTGAAGGCAATCGCTCGAGGGGCTTATCTTGCAAGAGCACGATTCCTTGGCGAGAGATGAGCGGCGAGAAGCACCTAACCTTAGCTAGGGGGTAATCTTCCGCGGTGGGGACCGGAGGTCAGGGGGAAATGAGAGAGGGTGGCGCCGAACCGCCGCGACCCCGGGCCGCCGTCACACCTGCGGCTCAGCCTCCCACCACCATTCCCCAGCCCCAGCCCGGCTGTGCCCTTCCTCTCGCCGCCGCCTGCATATCCGTTACCCCGGCGGCAGAGGGCTGCGGGGGAGGGGAAGGACGGCCTGGCCGCCGGGGGCGAGAAGCGCCGGGGATGCCGCAGTGGCTCCCCGCGGCGGTGGGTCAAAGTCCGCCCCGGCCGGGGAGCTCATGGCGGCGGCTGAGGTCGCGACTGGGGAGATGGCAGCCCCTTCCGAGCCCGCCCCAAACCCGGCCGCCGCCGGTACCTCATACTGGATGTACTGCTTCCTCCACTCGGGAGTGATGTGCGCGGAGAGGTGCTCGGCGAACTTCATCCTGCCGTGTCCCCCTCACTCCCACCCGGCTCCGGCAGCTACAGGCGGCGGCGGCGGCAACTGCGACTCCGACTCCTCCCCACATGGGCCCCGGCGCTGCGCGGAGCTGCGCTTCTCTCCTCCTCCGCCGCCGCCGAGGTCTCCTCAGAGCCGCCCTCCCGCCATCTTCCTCCTCCTCTTCATAGCCCCGCCCCGCCCCGCCCTCTAGACGTCATCGCCATGGTAACCGCCTACGCCGCTCGAACGGAGGGGGCGGGGTACAGGGCGGGGCCTCCGGGGGCTTTCCTCTATACTCCGCCTCTTTGGGCCGGACGAGGTAAAGACACCGCCCCTGACCTCTTCCGCCTGTCTTCTGTCTTCTACAGCTGCTTTCTGCATACAGTCTGCCTGGGAAGCAGAACTGTTGTTATTTCAATTAATATTATTACTGGAGCAACAATAATCCACACAAGACGCTTATATTTGCAGAGAACTGTGCAAATATTTTTTCCATCTTAATATTGATTCTTCATAAAACCCTTAAAGATGAATCAGCACTAATCCAAATTGAATAGTTGAAACAGTTAAGAGGCAAATGCATTTAAAGGAAATGTATTTGCATGCTCTAGGGGCTCAATAAATGCTTGTCGAGTTCAATTTAAAATGTCAGTGCCAAAAAATTTGTGTTGTTTCTGTCCACGTAATTGTCTATTTAGTCTTGGAGTTACAAGAAAAGCCAAAACACCTGGATACAAACCAGGACTGAGCCAGGTGGTGGCCTTTAATCCCAGCACTCGGGAGGCAGAGGCAGGCGGATCTCTGTGAGTTCGAGGCCAGCCTGGTCTACAAGAGCTAGTGCCAGGACAGGCTCCAAAGCCACAGAGAAACCCTGTCTGGGGGGAGGGGGGGACCCAGGACTGAAACTAGTCTGTGATCCAGCTGACTGAGGCTTGGGACAAGGGCTGAGAGGGAAAGCAGGGCTGAGAGGAAAAAGAATCCTATTTGTACCCACCCTCCCAGAGCAAAGTACCACATTCTGAGTGAGAATGACTGCCCTAGAGGACTTACTTGAGGCAAAAGCCACCCTGGGTGGAGGAGCCCTGGATAACACAGCAGCTGAGATTTTTTAGCTTGTCTGTCCTTGCCCCTATACCAAGCACTGCTCTAAATCCCTTATATGTCCGTTGTCCTTGAATTCTCACAATTTTGATGAGATTCAAAGGATTGCTAAGACAATTCAAAGTATTGTACCTGGGACAATATAGATCTCCGCTGTTGGCTTCCCAACACACACACACACACACACACACACACAAGATTTTTTTCTCCTTCCCTTCCATTTAATTCATGTCAATGGGGTTTTATAAATGTTTCTTCAGGAGAAAGACAGGGCATGAGGCTTGGTGGGAAAAAGCCTAACTCTTTCTGGCAAACTTTTGTACAAAAACCTCAACCTCTGGAGAAGGGTTAATCAGAGGCCTAGAGAGATCTTAGCAATTAAGAGAAGACCTAAACTTGATTCCAGAACCCAGGTCAAGCAGCTCGCAACCACCTGTAACTCCCAGCTCCAGGGACATTTGTGGCACCCGAGAGCACCTACACTCTTGTGCATGTGCCCACACATATACGCATAACTAAAAATAATAAAAATAGATTTTTTAAAAAAAAGGATAATCAAGGTCAAAGAGAAGGAAAGGAGGAGATGTAGGACTCCTCTTCAGCCTGGTACTCCTCCGCCCCCCTCTTCTACAACAGTATAATGCCAGGAGGAAAACACAGGCAAAGGGGAACATTATACACTGGGGGCATTGCTGCCACAGCACAGCCCGCCCAGGCCTTAATTGTATATAAGATTCAGGAACTGCGGTCCAGTTGAGGGAAAAATGAAATCCTTAGCTCTAGCTCTAAAACCAATAATTCTTAGTTCTTCTCCAGGCTGACTCAAAGCCCAGCTGCCCAGCGAGACACAGCCTTTATTTATCCACACAAGTAGATAAGAAAAAAATTGAAACAGGGACTTATTATGTAGCCCTGGCTGGCCTGGAATTCTCTATGTAGACCAGGCTGGCCTCTAGCTCAACAGAAATTGTCACCTACCACTGCGTCCTGAGTGCTGGGATTAAAGGCACACACCATCACTCCCAGGTGAAATTTCTTTATCCCGAGCATTATTACAAATGTCTCATCAAATATTTGAATGACGTTTACTGAACACTTACTCTCTGTAGAGAATAAAGCCGAATGTTTTCAAGATAGGATGAATGGTTCTGCTCTGAACCAGAAGGGCCCTCTACTTAAGACTTCTCTTTGTGAACATAATCTCTAACAAAAGGCTGCTGAGCATTCTAATATTCCAGTCATGTCCTTTGGGAATGAAGGACAGTTCAAAACGACATAAAACTGTCTTTTCCTGGAAGGAAATCACAGTCTAGTCAAGTGATGAACAGACAGACTAAGCGCCTACACTGTGAATTATGCTGGGAGCGAGGTTGGATAAGAGATGCGAATATCTAGCTGAGGAAAAAGAAAAAGATGGTGTCATGGAGATGATTTTGAAATCCAGTCTCAGACAATGATGCGACAAGCAAAAGGGGACACCTCGAATACCTCAAGGGCATATAGCAAGATGGCAGGAATGCTAAAGAGTGACTCAGTATCATCTGAACCCAATATCCCCCAGAACGCTGAAACTGTCTGCATGGTCCCCTCTCCTCCTTGGTCCCGTTGTTCTCCATTCATTGTGTTGCTATTAATAGTTGATCAGACCACAAGCTCTTTGAGAATTAATTGCTCCTTTTTTTTTTTCTTCTAAGATTGAGCACAGTGTCTGGCTCTTGGGCACTGAAAAAAAGTAAAAAAAGGTAGGAAAGAAGGAAAGAAAAAAGGAAGGAAGGAAGGAAGGAAGGAAGGAAGGAAGGAAGGAAGGAAGGAGAGAGAAAGGAAGGATTAAGAGAAGGGAGGAAAGGTGGAGACAGAAACGCAAGACAGTCCAAACCACCTGAAGTAAATCTCAGAAAATGAAGTTGGAACAAGATTGTAAAGAAACTGTGGTAATTTGAATGTAATTGGCCCTCATCATCTCGTAGAGAGAGGCACTATCAGGAGGTGTGGCTTTGTTGGAGAGGGTATGCCCTTGTTGGAGGAAATGTATCACTGTGGGGGCAGGCTTTGAGGTTTCCTATGCTCAGGATACCACCCAGTGTCTCAGTCAACTTCCTGTTGCTTGCAAGATGTAGGACTCTCAGCTACTTCTCCAGCATCATGTCTGCCTACACATTGCCATGCCATGATGATAATGGACTGAACCTCTGAACTGTAGGTCACCACATCACTTAAATGTTCTGCTTTATAAGAGTTGCCAAGGTCATGGTGTCTCTTCACAGCCACGGAAACCCTAACTAAGACAGAAACTGATCACAACACCAACATGGAGTCTGAAGAATTTTTAGTAAGTGCCTGACTTCTGTCTGAACAAGCAGTGCACATAAATATTCCCAACACTGATTCTAGGAATAGACCTGAAATAGATTCCTCACTTTCGTATTTACAAGCTACCGGCCTTGAGCAAGGTACATGGGCCTTTACAGCCCCAGTTTCCTTCCACATTCTTCCAAAGGTGATTAGAAAACAATTTTGTGGGTTAAATGAGACTCTGCGCGATAGCTCTTTGCATGAAGATGGGCCCTGATTGAACATCCCATAACTGGTAACCTCTCAAAACCTGTCAGCAGGGTGAGGGATGGACTAGAGTGGGGCCGAACTCAAGATCGGTGGGTGTATCAGCAAGCACTTACTGGGTACTGGCACTGGCCTGACCACTTTGCAAATGCAAATCTAATCCTCACAAGAACCTATAGGGGGTAGTTTCTATCCTTATCCGCACTTGGGCACTGATAAAGGCAGAGGGGATAAGCATCTTGCAGATCACCCACCTAGAAAGTGGTAGACCTGCCTTTGAACCCCTGTTACCCCGCTCCAGAGTACCTTTGGGCCTTGCATTATATGTTTGTTGATGCAAAATTCAAGACAGATGAGGCATATGAATCTAATGACAGGGAAGATGGTGTTTCCATACACTAAGATGAAGAATGCAAGCAGAGTATCCCTGGGGTACTCTGGATGTGTTAAGTATTTGGGGGGTCTCCCTGGATATGTTAAGTATTTGGAAATCTCCAGTTGAGCGCATGGATCTATAGCTTTAGAAACAGGTTGGGACTGAAGACTGGGGAGTGATTAAGATTTAAATGGTAATCAAGTCCAGAAAGATTGCCCAGAGATAAAGCATAGGCTGGAAGGAAAAATAGGCCAAGGGAACATCCCTGTGTAAGGCTGATGAAGAGGGGCCAAGAAAGGAGGCTGAGATGTGGCTAGAGTGGGCAGCAAGGCAATTAGGAGTGAGTGATGTCAAGAAAGATGTAAAAGATGAAAGCTTCATAAAGGAAGCGCCAATCGATAAGGAAAATGTCATAGAGAAGTTGAGCTGTCCGACATCTAAGCTCTTGGGTTTAGCAGTTGAAAACTCATTAATAGGGGTTGGAGAGATGACTCAATGGTTAAGAGCACTGGCTGTTCTTCCAGAGAACCTGGGTTCCATTCCCAGCACCTACATGGCAGTTTACAACTGGCTGTAACTCCAGTTCCGGGGAAATACGACAACCTCACACAGACATACATGCAGGCAAAACACCTATGCACATAAAATAAAAATGAGCAGCCGGGTGGTGGCACATACCTTTAATTAAACGGATTGATTGCTTCTCTTTAATCCCAGCATTCAGGAGGCAGAGGCAGGTGAATTTCTGAGTTCAAGGCCAGCCTGATCTACAGAACAAGTTCCAGGATGGACAGGACTACAAAGAGAAGCCCTGTTTCCAAATAAATAAGTAAACAAATCATTTTTAAAAGTTATATATACAAAAGAAGTCATTGATAACCTCCAGGGGAAAACAGCTTTGATAATTTAAAGGTTAGCACGGTAAGGACTGAGTCATGCAGAGCATTTGCTTCTGGCGGTCCTACGTTGTATTTATTCTGTGTGCCTGCTGCGCATACCTGCTGTGGAATGCCCAGGAATGAGGCCCTAATAGTATACCCAGCAATTTATTTAGAAATTCATAAGTCCTAACTCTGAACACTTTATATTTATCACACATAATTCTATGTTTGGGAACAATTATACTTGCCACAAAGTAACTG